CTGGGGCATTCATCATGGTAATTACTTGCTGGCGTTTTTCGGCAAGCTTTGCGTGCGCTTTAACATGGAACTCTTCCAGCACTCGCTGCTGCTGGACACTAAACACCGTCCGAGCCACTCGTGACAGTCGCGGTAGCACGGTCTCGTGTTGTTTCCACCAGCGCGGCAAATCTTTGTCATCACCATAATAATTGATGGATATCTAAAATATAAAAATAAGGAGGAAGCAAGCCTGATGCCTGGCCCGTGTCTGAGCTATGACGTGAAAATTGTCCCGAAGCCATAAATAAGTTGGGCCGTTGGGCTCAGGCTGAAATGCTGGGCTCTAAAGCAGCAAAAATACACACAAAATGACACCAAAATGGCCATCCTGGCCACACAGTTAAATAAATGATAATATTCAGTGATGTGATATGTGAAATGTGGAGTAACGTCTGGCCCAGTTCCAGCTTGTACTTATTACTAAAACAAGAAAGCAAACGAGTAGCATTAATAGTCATTAATTTTAGTTAACATATGCTATGATAATTTGAAAATATTTTTATTCTTATTGTAAAATAATGGAACATTTAGGTCATGAATATTGTCTCAAAAGTCATTGAAAAAATGTAAACGAACCCTGTAGAGAAGAGGAAGAGAAAACTAGAGGTGCACATAAAATCTATTCATATATGAATCGCGATTCTGTCTTCTAACGATTCTAATGGATTCACAAGTTTCAAAATCAATGTTCTAAAGCAGCGGTTCTCAATCCTGTTCCTCACACCGCCCTGCTCTGCACACGCTCTGCATCTCTCTCTCTCTCTCTCTCTCTCTCTCTCTCTCTCTCTCATTCAGCTCAGCTCCAACAATGAACTGTTCCAATTATACACTTATTTTCACATAGCTATGAGAAGCGTTAAACATGGACGCGCGTGCAGTTGCCGTACTGTATTAAAGCTTTAATCAGGATAAAACTGTATATTAAAAGCTAACATAAGCAGTAGCATTTACAAATAACAGCATATCTAAAAGTATGAGACAACAACAAACAAAAAACATAGGCCTACCATTGAAATCCATGCTTGCACAGGTTCTCAAATTGATAAGCAATATAGACGACGCCATTGTTTACAATACAACCGGAGCACATGCCGCTGAGGTGAGGGGCGGGACGTTTAGACGCGCACTAGAGGCGGTTTAGCCAATCACAACACACTGGGCTAGCTAACCAATCAGAGCCCATCACTTATTTCTGAGGGCGGGGCTTCATAAAAGCAGGAAATGATCGGCGCGTTTCTCAGAGAAGGGACAGAGCGATGTGGAATAAAGGTAAATTATGTGAAAAATTTGTGTTTTTTTAAATGAAGCATTAATATTATAAGCATAAAATTATACTTGATTTATTTTACAGTATGAGTTATAAATATCTTACTTAAAAACTTAAAAGTGCTTAAATAGTTCCATATTTGTCATTCGATTATTGTATGTTATTTATTTGCTATTAGCAAAGCCTTAGTGTGATGTTATTGAGGTACGAGGAGATTTAAAACCAGATCAAGGTGCTCGACCTGAAGTCTCAAGAGTTCAAACAAGAATCAGAGATGATGGAGCAAACCATCAGCACTATGCCAGATGTTATAGTGGAGCTACAGTAAGAAATACTGTAAACAATACAGTATATTTTTGACCATATAAATATTAGACTTCCATGCTTGTTTTTATTTGTTGTGTTTTTCAGGGGTTTGTCAAACACTATGGCGTTCAAACATGGGACAGCCACAGTAGTGATGGGTAATGTGCACAGGGATATAGCTTCCTGTGAACAGAGGGAGTCTCATCACGCACAGATTCACTCAACGCCGGGCTGTCATGAAGGACACAGAGGTTAAGAACCCTTTCTTTCATATTTACATTTATGTCAAGATTATTTTGTCAGGGCTTCCTATATGGGCTGATCCTAGATCAGCTTTGCTATTTAAATAATTATAATCCAGGTTAACAAATGTTTTCTTTGCATATCAGAAAACAGATCAGCTGAAGCCGAACGAGCATGAGTGCATTTGATAGGTTAGGGGATTTGATGTGCTCCAATCACCATTCAAGCTGAAATAACCTTTATAAATATTTAGATTTCCTTTGTATGATGATGCACCATGTCATTTTTATGGAATACCCAGTGATACCAAATAATACATTTCAAGACACTGAGAACAAAACATATGTAACAAAAAACCTTTTGTCCAGTATTATCTACTGTTAGCTGGTTGTGTTTAAAGCAGCTTTATGTTATTAATATTTGCAGGTATATGCACATAGAACGTGGTTATAGCACTCATATATTTATATACATTTGGAAAAGTACAATATTAATGTATTAAAAACATCAAAAATGCAAACTGTTTTATATATGAACAGCTTTAGATATGTACAAATGTTTACAAATACTTTTGAGTTTCAAAGGCTGTTGAATTTGTGCTATTCAAAATGTGTGTGTGTGTGTGTGTTTGTGTGTGTATATATATGTAATATTATTTATTATTATTATTAGATAAATTAGATTATTTCAATATTAATTTTACAGCATTACATTTTTTTTACATTAAAGGGATAGTTCACCCAAAAATGAAAATTCTGTAATTAATTACTCACCCTCATGTCGTTTCAAACCCGTAAGACCTTCGTTCATCTTCGGAACACAAATGAAGATATTTTTTATGGAATCTGAGAGCTCTCTGACTCTGCATAGACAGCAACGCAACTGATATGTTCCCAAGTCCAGAAACGTAGCAAGGAGATCTGTAAAATAATCCATGTGACATCAGTGGTTCATCCGCAATTATACGAAGCTACGAGAATACTTTTTGTGTGCAAAAGAAAGAAAAAAATGAACTTATTCAACAATTTGTCTCCTCCGTATCACCCTGTAGCGCCATTTTGTAGAGTATCCACTGGACGTAAACAACGTATGCTGTTCTGTGTCAGCTGCGTCACGCTGGATCTGTTTCCTACGTTGTTGTGATTTGATCTGAACGAAAACAGCGTATCCGTGTGACGCAGCTGACACAGAACAGCATACGCTGTTTACGTCCAGCTGATATTCTCCAAAATGGCGCTACAGGGTGATGCGGAGGAGACGAATTGTTGAATAAAATCATACGTTTTTTTTTTCTTTTGCGCACAAAAAGTATTCTCGTAGCTTCGTAAAATTACGGTTGAACCCCTGATGTCACATGGATTATTTTACAGATCTTCTTGCTACGTTTCTGGACTTGGGAACATTTCAGTTGCGTTGCTGTCTATGCAGGGTCTGAGAGCTCTCAGATTCCATCAAAAATATCTTAATTTGTGTTCCGAAGATGAACGAAGGTCTTACGGGTTTGAAACGACATGAGGGTGAGTAATTAATGACAGAATTTTCATTTTTGGGTGAACTAACCCTTTAAAATGGTTTCATTCTGTTCTATAAAGACTGATCTTATAGAGAAACATGAGTCAAATGGTGTTTCACTTATATTTAATACTTATTCAGCTTTAAAGATTCAATTCGTCCATATAAACAGTACAATTGAATTTACTTTAATTTGTCCAATCTGGATTTCATTTATAAATAAATTTGCAATTAAAATGTCTTTACTGGACCAAATGTCCCCACTATGAGATTGCGTTGAGCTTGAACTTGGTTGAACTTGCAAAGTTAACCTGCAATTTCACTAAAGTTGTACATACGAACAAGGGTTTATGCTTTAAAACACTGTCAGTACATTAATATCGTCTGTTTGTGTGTCTTCTGATACCCACAAATTAAATACCTAGCAAATCATATTACACCTTTGCTCTGGAATATCCGACACTCAGTATCACACCTCTAGTAACCTCTAATCATTTGATGAAAGCTCTTAAAATTTTCTGTCAGAGATAATATGTTATGTTTTGCATGAAACCCACGTATTATCACTTCATTTTCGGAGGGAAAAGCTATTTATTGGGGGAGTTGAGTTTCGGGATTATGGCCTCAGTCAGAGCCCGGCGCCTGATGAAAGTCTCACATGGCTTATCTAATGTGAAATCGCCATGTGGTATATAGTTTCATTAAACGGTGATCAAGAATGCATTAGTTCAAAACAAGAAAAGGCAATGGGGCTTAATCCGCCATGCGCGCAGAAGCAGCAAACTCCAAACAAGTTGTTGGTGCGAGACAGGAGCCGAATTAAAAGTCCTCCCTCATAGAGCCAGTCTGCCATTAACTTGCTGTAGGGCAGCAGAGCAGAGAGTCTCTTTAGACTTCTCACAGGAAACAATAAAGCAGCACAAAGATTCATCGTCCAACAGAAACGTTTAGACTTTTAACATTTCCAACAAAGAGAGACTGTGTCAGAGTGCCTTCGATTGACCTGCAGGCACATCGTTGGGACGTCACAGTCATGAGATGTTAATGAACATAGGAAATATGGATAGTGACGCACAACACTGGATGACGACCACAGCGTCATGTGTTATAGAGAGACACACTTAAAGAACAATTTGGCAATAGTTTAAGAAAAAGAAAACTGAATTTGTCATATTTTCTAAAAACCAGGCTTAATATCTTGCTTCTCAGATTTACATTTCTTTTGACATTATAGTGGTTTCATTCAGATAAATACATTTACAGTGGGTACGGAAAGTATTCAGACCCCCTTAAATTTTTCACTCTGTTATATTGCAGCATTAGCCACAACTGGATTTTATTTATAATAAATTTGCAATTGTATTGTCTTTCTAGGACCACATGTCCTATTATGCTTTTTCACTTTTTCAACTTTAGTTAGTCTGTAATGTTGCTTTTTGAGCATAAAAAAGATCTGCAAAGTTACAAAGCTCAAAGTCCAATTCAAAAGGCGATATTTTATTTAACAGAAATCACTTTTCAAAAACTACAACGAACGACACATTTTTGGACTACAACGCATACTGGCCTAGCTAACCAATCACAGCACATTTCGTATTTCAGAAGGCGGGCCTTCATTTGATACAGGAACTATTCGAGCCGTTCATGCCAGACTGGGGAGAGAGGTGTTGTAATAATGTAAAATATGTGAAATATAATGTGTTTTTCGAACAACCTAGTATGAGAGCCTGTTCTAGTACACCCTCAAAACAAAATCAAGACTTTGTAAAAGAGCATAATAGGACCCCTTTAAGATTAAAACCTTTTATTAAAAGCAACAGGTTCATCTGCATGTGTATTCAATGTCATGACCTTTGCATTGCTGTCTGCATTAAGGTCAATGTCAAATTTGCTTACAACCCATTTTCATAGTGTAACATATTTCTTTGTAAACCGCATATTCAGTGAACAAAGGGCAGTGTGGAGCAACAAATTATTACATATTGGGGGGGGGAAATTCCTTTGGAAAACCTAGCAACAATTAATTGATCTCAGTAAGACCAGGAATGTGAATAAAGCAAGTAAACAGGGTTTTTTGTGTTGACTTGTGCATTTCCTTACACGATCAGTTGAGATGCGTTAAATGTTACTTGCACTTATGGACACACTCCACTGTGACTTCTTCACAAGCTGGGTTTTTTTCTCTCCCCTCATCATATTCTCATGGAGCATGTTTACTTGATGAAGTCAGATGCTCAGTGAGTAGAAAAGCAGTAGGATGCAAAGTGCAGACACCATCAGTTTCTTATGGCCAATGAAGTGTAATTTGTCCCATTTACATTTCAGAGGTGCATCAGACGGGTTTTGTCAGCACTGCATGCAGTAATTAAGCTTTAAATCAATAGCCGGCATTTGTCATGTTTACTGCCACTCTCAGTGCTGGGTTAAACTCATCAGTTTAGCGCTGGGTCGTTATACTGCCCAGACACACTTCATTATTCCTTATTCTCAGGTAGAGCAGAAAATGTTTTTCTCTTTCTCTTTCCATAGCTCTCTCTCCACGTGTCCGATGCTGACACAGGGTTGTGGAGATTGTGAAGACAAGCAAATCAGACATTTATTGTAATTTGTTTACATACTTCAAGTGCTGTATGATTACTAGCATTACTGCATTCGAAGAGGATTCGTTTTAGTGTAAAACAAGCAAAATGCAAACGATGTAGATTACATGCAGTGGCCCCAAAAAATATGAGGACACTTCAGCAACACTGAAAAATGCTTGAAAGTTACTGCATTGCATGCACAAAATATCAGAATAAGTGTCTTTTGTGCAGAGTTGTTATCGTTAACTAAAATTTAAACTATTTAAAATATTTGATAACTTAAAGCTAAAATAAAATATAAATATTAGATGAAAAACTTATAAAAAAAATACATAAATAAATGTTGCCCTGAGTTAAATTAAGTTGAAGCCCTAAAATTACTAACTTGAAATAAATAAAAATTAAAACTAATTAGTACTATTTAAAAATAAAGACTGATAAAAATGATAAAAGCACAACAAAATTGCTACTATTATAATAAATATTAAAATAATTGAAAAATACAAATAAAAACTAATTCAAATGATTTTTCTACAAACTACACTCTAAAAATTGCTGGGTTGTTTTAACCCAACTTTGGGTCAAATATGGACTAAACCCAACTGTTGGGTTACATTTTTCAATTAAATCTTTAACCCAAAAGTTGGGTTATTCCATAAATTTCCTCAAAGTTGGGTTAAAACAACCCAGCATTTTTTTTGAGTGTACTGTAACTTCACTTTTATGAGCCATTTTTGCAATTACTGTCAACCAACTGGTCCCGAAGTGAAATGAAAGTGCAAGGTTGTGGGTTTGATTCCCAGGGATTGTGCATATTGATAAAATGATTGAAGTAGTCACTTTGGATAAAAGGTCTGTCAAAAGTAAATGGGAAATCAATGTGCAGATTCAAACGATGCAAAAATACCATAGAAGTACACTGGGAAAAATGGTGTAGAAAATTTTTCGTTGCTAGCAAATTTCACAATTTCACAATAACATTTTGAAGAAGAAAAGCTGAAATATTATTTTAATGAGTCAGTTGATCCGGTTCACAAAACTGAATGATTTGTTCGTGAATCGGACTAATCCAGTTCTCAAGTTCAACTCACTGACTCAATGATCCGGTCACAGAGGTTAACAGTCCACTGGAGGGCAAGATTATCAGTGAATAACTTACATTTCGGTCTGTTCCTTGCACAAAAAGCTACCATATGGCTTCCGAACAGTTGAAATATAGTGCATAAGTTATTTAATCAGCTTTTGTGTTCTTTATCGAAGCTTCAGACCCAATTCATTGTCATTGCATGGAAAAGTGCTTTTTCTAAATCTCTCCTTGAAATCATTTGAAATCCATAAAGGTTTGGAAAGACACAAATGTGCGTTTTTAATTTTTGAGTTAACTATTCCCTTAAATAGGACTCTCTGTTCATTCTTCAGTTGCAAAGGTTTAAGTCTTTGTTTTAGCTTTTAATGGCTTGTTATACATGTTAGAGTCTCTCAGAAGCTGATGGAGAACATCCTGTGCAAATCTGTTCCAGGGTAATCTACAGGAAGCAACTAAAATTTTACTTCAATCTGAAGTTGGCTCAAGAGTACCGAGAGTTGCAGAAAGCTCTGATGATTGCCAGACAAGAAGCTGTTTGTGTTTTTGACATAAGAAACAGAGCAGAGGCCTACATCCAAGATCACAAGCAGGTAACTCTCATTACCACAAACACATTTCTTTCTCTGCAACTCCTTCTGTATGTGTGTATACATCAAGGCTATGTTCTCCATGTGTGAATGATGTGGTTGTCTAGCTTTGTCATCAGAGATAGACAGCAGGCATGTAAAATAGTGATGAGAGAGAGCTTTGCGTGGACTAGCGTACGCTCGCGTGCTCCACACAGCCTGTCATAGGTGGTTGGTTTTAGTTGGGCAGTCAGCTAGGAGGCCACTGCAGTAATCTAATCACGATGAGATAAGCTTCATGACAGCGTTGCTCTGGCGTGCATGTGTGTTTATTCCATCTCACATGGCAGTGAGTGGAAACAGTCACATAGCAGATGCAAACGCTCTCAAGAACCTGCATCTCAGGAACGTTTGGGAAAATGCTAATATGACACGTACGTCCATCACTAAAGGATGGGTGGTTTTGCTGGTATTCATCAAAGCTGCAGTGCGTACCTATGGAGTGCAGTGCATTAGTCATTTTCAAACAACACTATATCAGTGTGTTTTTGGCTGTGTATATTGGTATAGCAACAGATACTTAGCAATGTAAAGACATTTTCAGGTGCTGGTGTTTAAAGTGAGAGGTTAAAGCTGAAGTGTTTAATTTCTATGCCACATAAAGGAATTGTAAAAATAATGACTGGGAAATTATCGAACAGGTTTCCCTCATTTGCCATTGGGCGAACTTATAGATAGTTCGGTTGGTATGCACTAACAGGAATTAGTGTACTCAAAAAGTATTTAGGCCTAAATGTAAGATTTATGTATTTGAATTGCATATCAAAATTTCCATCCTTTTGGATTGCACAGTTTTAACCTAACTAAAAAAACGAATAAACTTAAAGTGATGCATATTTGTCAGTCATACATAAATGGAACAGGTAAGGAACATGCAAGATTTCTGTAATAGTACTAAAAAAGTGAATGTTTTAAATACACAATAACCAGGTTTATTTATTTAGCATGATTAAATCCACTGTGTTTCAATCTCATATATTTGAAATAATTGAATATTGCGTGTTTCACAGCTAGCCGTATTTTAATCGTTTACACTTTTTAACTGAATACCTACCTTTTTTTTTTTTTTTTTTAAATAAACAGATTTATGCTGATTCTAAGCAATTTGAATAAATGCTTTTTCAAAATATGATTATTTAAATAAAAAGGGGTCATATGATGCTATTTTAAAGATCATTATTTTATAACAGAATATGTTGACATGCTTTAATGTTCAAAAACACATTATTTTTCAAATACTGTACATTATTGTAGGTCCTCTATGCCCCGCCTCTCTCAAACGCTTCGTTTTCTACAAAGTCCCTCCTTCCGACAAGCGCAGTCTGCTCTGATTGGCCAGCTGACCCAGTGCATTGTGATTGGCCGAACACCGCAAGCACTCGTCGGAAATGTAACGCCCCTTACCATAATCGTGAGTGTCAGCTTTCAAAGTAAATATCAAGACAGTTAATAATGTTGTTAGTTTTACCATCAGTTCAAGCCCGAAAGGGGAACAGAGTCGTGTGACAGACACAGTGATGATGCAGTACACATGCCGCGGTTAAGACAGCTGACGTGCTGTGATTTCTGACAAGACAGTTCACTCTCCTGTGATGTGACCCTGTTCCGCTCTCACACACACACACACACACACACAATGCGTTACTCTGCGCTGCGCAAAACTCCGCATTTGAACAGTCAATAGCAAATACTTAAACTAATAACAAAACAATAGCCAGATTGTCATAGCAAAGTCGGAATTTACCTTTTTTTTTTTTTTTTTTAGAAATAGCCTTTGTGCACATCTCTTGTACTCTTCTAGGTTCAAAAAAACTGTCATCCATAAAATGCGTTGCACAAATTCGAACATCTGGGTTGTGTTGTTCTGTTGTAAATAAATCTTAACCAATGATTCCTAATTGCATCTACTTCCGGAAGGCCAAATAAAGTGCTTTTGCTTTCGCACTGAATCACACAGCGTCTCCCTGACATGCTGCATCAACACTACTGCTGTTCCTGAAACCACGCCTTCTTTCTTTGTGTGCACATTTGGGCGGCATTATGCTAATATTTCCACATAGTGACGTAGGTATGTGGGGGCGTGTTAGAATAAGCCGTTTTAGTAGGGCGTGGTTGACTCTTAACTTTTATAAAGAATATCTCTTTGGATTTGAGACTTTAGTTTTTGCAACTTTACAGATCTTATTTATGCACCAAGAGCTTGTGAGAAAGGAAAACTTGAAATCGTATCATATGACCCCTTTAAATAAAATGCAAACAGAAATCTTGTGTGCAGAAATCTTTCCTGTTTCTTACCTGTTTAATTTATATATGACTGACTGACAAATACGCATCACATAGTTTAATAGTTGTTGATGTTAAAACTGTGAAATCCAAATGGATGGAAATTATATATGTAATTCAGATACATAAATCTTAAATTCAGCCCTAATTATTTTTTTGAGTGGGTGGTGATTTTTGATTAATTTCCCTAACTATGTAATTTTTTTAATCTCTTCATCATATTTGTTCATTCACTGATTTGTTTAGTTTGTTCTTTTTGTAGGTTACATTATTATGCTGTAGGTGCCATCAAAGTGTATGTCTTTTTATGTTATGAATGACTCAGTGAATCATTTACTGAACTGATTCATTAAACAACACAGAGTGAAAACATAACTACAAAGCTTTTGACAAATCTAAGAGACTCTAGAAAGAGTGTATTTTGGGCATTTTTCCCACTAATGATTCTTTTTAATAAATAAAACTTAAACTTTTTTGAATTTATCAAGTTATAAAAACTACCCTAAATTAAGTTTCAATAACGTCCTTACATCATTTGAGAATGATTTGTTCAGTTCGTTCATAAATGCGATCTCTTTTTCATTTAGTTCATTCAGTGAGTCTCGTTCAGTCTCAAAACAAAACTCGTTCAGTGATGGGGATTTTGGTCAATGGAATGGTTTGTTCACTTAAAAGATTTGTTCTAAACACTAATTCAAAATACTACTTAAAGCAACATTTCGATAACACCACAGAGAAACAGTGTTTATACTTTTTTTGTGACAATCACATAAATGGCTTACTTACAGTTGTCTGCATATTAAGCTGAGATCAGAGAATGTATTTAAAGCTTTGTGTCTTTGTGACATTAGTCCACAGATCGTTATTGTTATAGTACCATTGTTGTTGTTGCTGGAGATTATTACTAGTTATACTGATCTAGACATAATCTGTCACTTTAAGTATATAGCATTATTTTTTTGAGCTGTAGATCATTTTAATATGATTTGTTATTCTACCGCTGACGGTAAAACTCTACTGAAGAGCTAGACACATTGTTTGTTCCCCAAAAGACTAATACTCGTACAACTCCTCATCTAACTACATGAATGTTATCAAGTGAGAAATGCATGCAAAAGGCAAATCCTGTGGACGGGATTCTCCACGCTCATGATCAAAGCCTGATTTTCTTTTACTCAGTATTCAGCCTTTTTACAGTTTGTTGTTTATTTTCAGTCTGGTACGGCGTTCTCTCCTTCAGAGCGGATGTAGTCGCATCTCTTAACGGTTTACCACAAGCTCTTCTTAAAGTTCCATACGTATCTATAAGGACGTGTAGGCCGAGCTGTGCTCAATTTAATATGGATTCTTATGACAGCTTACCATTTTTGAAAAGTTTTCTATGCCATGCTGACTATGTGTCTATTATGAATTGTTTGAATAGAATGTATATTTATCACGTACACCTGCTCCACATGTATGAAACTGTGACACCACATTTATTATGAGAAACAGATTCAGATGGTGTTTCAAAGCACTGTTTATGTGGCTATATATTAGTGAAAACTTGCTAAATCTGATTAGTTCAGCATGTAATTTATATGTATTAGAATTAGAATATACTTCATTGCCCCAGTAAGATAAAAAAAATACACAGCAGAAAATACGGAAAAAAATTATAATAATAGTATTGACCTTCCCACTTTTAATCATATGGCAAAAATATACTATATACTGTATAATTAAAAGTGGGAAGTAAATAGAACAATGAGTAGAGTGCAATGCAATGAGACCCAATACAGTTGTTTTCATAATTACATTATATTTAACATGTTATGCTGTTTTTTAATTATCAGATTTTTTTATTTTCTGAGTCCAATTTTTTTTTACTGCTATAAAAAATGCAATACAATGAGTCTAAATATCTGCATTAGTTTGCTAGTGACAGATTGTGTTTAATTATTTATGTGGTTTTATGTGGTGTCCTCTGGTTATGCAGACAAACATCTTCGTTTTGCACTTTTATAAGTTGACTGTAGCTCCAACTATATGTCTAGTATAACTGCTATAATGGACACTGCAACTATGTCCTTAACATCAACAGATCACTTTTATAGATAATACAGGTTATCATATACAGTGGCATTTTGCCAGTTTAGTCTGAATGAGAGAGCTAGAGCGCCCCCTTGCAGTGGTTAAATGTATAACCCATGGGCCTACCTAAACTTCCAGAAACACTTTAGTGCTTGTAAACAAAAGGTAACCCTGAAGGCCTAACAGAAATTGCATTGTAAACATCTCAGACATGCCAAGGTGGGTTGTTATGCGAGCACAGATACTGTACAAACAGAAAGCATGGATGAGAATAGTATCTTGCATCACTTTGCCTGGTGTCTTTTTGTTATAATTTGTTATAACTTTCTACAGAATATTGTACATATTGTTACTTGTAGCATTAATAGGATAGTACAGGTTTTGACAGAGCTCCATAAAGGACATTTTTTGCACTCGTTCAGTTAAAGGCTGAGCTAATTCGCTTTAGTTTTTTCATGCTCCGAAGAACACATTGCCAAGCAATGATAAGCTTAAAGGAAGAGAGAAGAGATGGGGCGAAACAAGGGACGACATCCCTCCGAATTGAAACCCCCTTTTTTTCTGGAAAACTGCACAAATAATAAAGAGAGCAGCATGCTTTCTTTCTTTCTTTCTTCTCTAATCTCTCTCTCTCACACACACAGACACACACACACACTCTCTCTCTCTCTCATTTTTTTTTTCTTTTTTCCAGTATACTCGGAATAATTTCTCGTTGCGGCAGGGGGTTCATGACTTTTTGTGTATGTGTAAAATATGTCTGGAGGGGATTGGTATAAAGTTAAAGTGAGTGAAGTCGAAATATTTTACTCATCAGCTTTGCAGTCACCGAGTTTGCCTGAGCTAGAACAAAACCGCTGAAGCATTTAGAGAAAATTAACCCCCCATCCTGGCAGCCAGATGTGACTGGTTTCCGCCCAGTGCACATGAGTGGGCAGGGAGAGCAAGAGACTGTGAAATTCCTGTCAGCCCCATGTACTGCAGAATGGGCTATTGACTGCTTTCTCTATTCCCCTCCATCATTCTTCTTGAACACTGCCATTAATTTCCTCTCCTGCCTTACCAATTCTCCCTCTCTTTCTCTATCTCTCCCTCTTTCTTTCTTTCTTCCCCAGCTTTCTTTGTTGCAGAAGAGGATGCACAAAGCCATGCTAAAATACTTCAAACGCCGCAGCGTCTACAGCCAGGCAGAGCTGGCCCGCTTCCAGACCCTCTCCAACCAGAACAACCAGAAAATGAAAGCCCTCCAGGTATGGGCTCTTTAGTACCCCCACAAACACACACACACACACACACAACACTATTTGTAAGTATCGCACTATATACTACAATGGGTCCCGCTTGGGTTAATGCTTGTTGAGGTTAAGATGGTTAACCTTTAAGGAATATTTCACCTAAAAATGAAAATTTGGTCATTATTTACTCACCCTTTCCATGAAACACAGAAGGAGAGTGTGCTCCTTGTGCCATAAATTGAAAGTGAATAGTGACCATGGCTGTCAAGTACACTTTCAGCAAATAATGACTTACATTTCAGTCTGTGACTCATACAAAGCTATTCTATGACTTCAGATATGAAACACTGTGCACATGGACTACTTTTATGATTCTTTTATGGCTTTTGTGGAACTTGACAGCAGATGGCCACCATCTACTTTCAATGTATGGGAGCGAGAAGAGTGTGAACATTTTAAAAAAACATCTCCTTTTGTGTTCCACGAAAGAAAGGAAGACGAATGGGTTTGGACTGACATGAAGTAGAATTTGAATTGATATATCGAAAGACATTTCTGAGGTTTTGAGATTATCGTAATGGTGGCTCGGACAGAAGCATTAGCATTAATCTAGCCTAGTCAATGGATAATTTATTTTGAAATATCAAATGTTTGCAGTGAATATCAAGTAAATATTGTGTTCAAATCTTTGTTTAGTTTCAGCGTATACTGTATGTGTACATCTCATTTAGCTCTCATCAAGTACATCTGGCCATTATATCGGCCACCCCACTCTCTAAATATCAGTATCTACAATGGCTAACATTATAATACAGCATTAAGATATAAAATTGCATTCATAAACTGTCAAATCACAAAAAACTATTTGTGACCCTGGACCACAAAACCAGTCATAAGGGTCAATTTTTCGAAATTGAGATTTATACATCATCTGAAAGCTGAATAAATAAGCTTTCCATTGATGTATGGTTTGTTAGTATAGGGCAATATTTGGACGAGATACAACTATCTAAATATTCATATACTAAATATTCATAACTATATATATAGTTAAAAATCTAACTTATCTAAATATTGAGAAAATCGCCTTTAAAGTTGTCCAAATTAAGTTATTAGCAATGCATATTACTAATCAAAAATTAAGTTTTAATATATTTACAGTAGGAAATTTACAAAATATCTTCATGGAACATGATCTTTACTTAATATCCTAATGATTTTTGGCATAAAAGAAAAATCAATCATTTTGACCCATGCAATGTATTTTTGGCTATTGCTACAAATATACCCCAGCGACTTAAGACTGGTTTTGTGGTCCAGGGTCACATTTAGTCTGTACGAATGGGACATTTACTTATGACATCTTGTGATGTGGCGATCATGGTGTAAGGTGCTGAAAAAACAGTCACACTTACATAATGTAGATCAAAAAATAGTGCAAGTGTCTAATGCACACACAAATTAACGGTCATTACAATTATATTTAAATAATGATTAAAATTAGCATTGTATTTAACATGACTTTGTATACTGGAATAATGCAACCGTAATGTTTGGATGCTCTAACACAAAAGGCATTTGGTCTCAGTGGAAGGTGTGCTATGCGCGCTTATAATGAGGTGAGCGGCGGTGTGTTTGTGGCTCAGTCAGGGGAGGCCAGCTCTGGAAGTCAGGCTGGTGAATGGAGCATGAAGACGAGGAGTTCTTCAAGCTCCTCCGAGTGTGAAGGACAAAAGGAGCAGCCTTACTCTAAACTTTGTCACAGCTCTGCGTTGATCTCCTCCCCCAGACACAGACTAGCATTGTGTAGAGGAGAATTTACATTGTAAAATCAGAGTATAGCAAGGCATAGCAATAAAGCACTGATGACCCAAAACTACAGGACTCGTGCAGTCGCTAACCTTAGATGTTAGGAAGGCTTGGGAATAAATACATTTGTGGTATTAGAAAATCTAATTTGTCACAGCTTCCTATTGTCTTTGTATTGTGCAGCAAACTGCTTGCTATACAATGGCCAGACAGCCACTGGCATATGGGACGTGGGGGTTGTGGAGACAAGACAGACAGGGTCAGGGGCCCCTCATGATATTATGAGCCAATAAGTTATGTGATTTTACTATACAACAGAAGTCTAGCAAATATTTCAGCAAAGAAAGTGATTGCTAAAGAGAAAAGTTGTAAGAGAGGGCTAAATTGTCCAATGTAACATCTCTGTCTCCAACTCTGATTGAAGATTTTCTTCCTGGATTGCACACAACCTTTTTAAAGCAGTCTACTTGGCAGCCATTTGGTAATCAGACAGCTATTTCCTGGTCATACAAGTTTTCTAGTCATGTTTCCATTACATGCCAAGCTTTCAATAACACTTCAGATCACTAGTATATTCATGTTCGTTGTCAGGGGGACATCCGGGAATGTCCCGGGCCCTGTGACAAGGGGTCCTCTTGGGCTCAGAGAGGAAAATAACTCTTACTCATAAAAACTCAATGGTTATCACAACACAAACAATAGTTGTGCTTTATTTTTGCACGGTTGAAAACTGACACCTTTCTTAATTATGTAATTTAATTCATTTATTGATTTGCACATATTTGGAGTAAGAAGATATGGTTAATAAAAGGCAATTTTTCCCACTAATCTCAATGGCAAAAGGTGTCCTAATTTACCTGAGTTTACTTTAAAAATGAAATGCATTTTCAGATCTTTATATTATGTTTCTTGAGGTTAGCATATGATACTATTTTTTTTTTTTGCATCCATTATTTTTTGTAAAAAATAAAAATTAAAGGAAACATTTTTTTGTTCAGTCGCTCAGGTAAAATAAACTTTATGCATTTCTAATAGTCTGATCTTTTGGAAGGATATGCAGGTTATGGAGGTGTAGTTTGTCTACATTCATTGTTGAGCAGAGGAATATCATGACATCACAAATGGGGAAACAAAAACATTTTAAAGTGGGGAGCTAGTTTTGAGGTACACTCTTAAAAATAAAGGTGCTTCAAAAGGTTCTTCAAGCGATGCCATAGAAGAACCATTTTTTGTTCCACAAAGAACCATTCAGTCAAAGGTTCTTTAAAGAACCATCTCTTTCTTACCTTTTTATAATCTGAAGAACCTTCTTTCGCCACAAAGAACCTTTTGTGAAACAGAAAGGTTCTTCAGATGTTAAAGGTTCTTTATGGAACCATTTAGACAAAAAGGTTCTTCTATGGCATCGTGAAGCACCTTTATTTTTAAGAGTGTATGAAACTTGCTATATGTTTTTATTGTAGAGTAATCTCTTATATGTGTAAAGTTTTAACCATCTTAAACCATCACAAATATTCTGTGTGCAGAGATTTGTATCTATGCTGATTCTGTCCGAACATTTTTTCTCCTAAGATACCACTCGCAAAAGTTGTCCACCTATGTATTCATGAGGAACCTGAAGGTTTCTTCAGGAACCTGAAGATTGCAAAAACTAGTTCCACTGATTTGTCCCTGTGTCTTCCTGAGGAACAAATGACTGCTTCTAAGCAGCTCTACTGAAGTATAGAGATGGGGGGAAGAGTAAAACGAAATAGAGAAAGCGTGCAAGCCTGTCATCTCGAAACGCCACTGCAAGATTGGGCACTCAGTTCCGGGTTATGCAAGTTTACACCAGGGATAGCGTAATTGACAATTGCTAACAACAGAGAGCAGGGTGGAGAGTTGTGAATGGCCAGTAATAATTGGAGCGAACGCCCACTGCGCTGCTCTCGGGGGGCCGTAATCCAAGATCTTGTTTCTGATATAATTGTTAGTCAGAAAATTTCTGCATGGCTAGGCCAGCTCAGTTCCCAAGCTGGTTGACAGTGCAAGGCAGTTTAATAGAAAAACTGGTTGCTGAGGTTTTTAAAACAGGCACGCACTGAACCCATGCGCAGGAGTGTGGCACACACCATTTTTCCCATTCCTTTGTTTTGTCTTTCTCAATCTTATGTCTTGCAAAATAAGTGTTTCAAATGTCAGTGTTGCTCTTTCGTAGGAATAAGGGAATGGGACAAAGTTTGATTATTACAGTAAATGCCGCAAATAAACCGTTTTAGAGAAAAAAGCAGTGAGTATATGTGTATTCTGATGAAACAAAATGTAGGATTATATATTTTTCTATTATATTTTAGCATGACATTATATGCAGTGCTGTTCAAAAGTTTGGGGTACCTAAGATTTTTTTATGTTTTTGAAAGCATAAGTCTCTTATGCTCACTAAAACTTCATTTATTTGATCAAAAATACAGTAAAAACGGTAATATTCTGAAATATTTTTACAATATAAAATTACATTTTATATTTTAATATACTTTGAAATGTAATTTATTCCTGTGATGCAAAGCTGAATTTTCAGCATCATTACTCCAGTCTTCAGTGTCACATGATCCTTCAGAAATCATTCTACAATCATTCAAAAATAAATTTTCAAAGTTTTAAATATAACATTATTGGTTACAAGAAAATATAATTTGTGTTACAAGAAAACATAATTCAATAATAATTACATTTCATGTTTAAGTCGATGCATTACCATGCCTTTCTTTGTAAATAATTTTGAAATTCACTAGCAATTTATAAGTTAAATAGTTTTCACACCAAATCTTTTCATTCCAATATGCTGATTTGCTGCTCAAGAAGTATTTCTTATTATTATGAATGTTGAAAACAGTTGTGCTGCATCATATTTTTGTGGAAACAATGAAAAAAATGTGGGATTATTTGATAAATAGAAAGTTTAAAATAATTAGAAATCTTTTGTAAGATTATGAACATATTTAAAGTCACTTTTGATCAATTTAATGTGTCCTTGCTAAATAAACAGTGTATACTCTCCAAAAAAAAATCATACTGACCCCCTGAACATTTTTTAGCGTGTGTATATATATATTAAAATGGGCTTGAAATTAAATGGAAATGCTAAGACTAGCACCAGCACCACCAAGAAAGTCTAGCTGGTTAGTTAACACAACATATACTAGTGACCAACTATACTGGCCTTTCCAGCAGGGAACATCTAAGTCGGACTTTTGCAGGCTCCGGCTCCACTACAGGATTTTGTAGTGAATTAGCCAGCATTCATTGATTCCATTTGCTTGCCTATTTAAACAGGAGAAGTTGTCAAACACAATCCATCGCCTCTCTGAGTTCCTGCTCTCGCTGACAGATGACTCAACTACCAGCCATCTCCCGCAGCAAGCAAACAGACCCGTCGCAGATGCCGATGGATGGAGCAGGAAGATGCCTACAGTTCAGATAGCGGAGTAATTGGACGCTCACCTGCGCCAGACAACTTACTTAAACCCCCAGCATGCTTCACTCTCTCCCCTGTCCGACGCTCACGGCCCAATCCATAACAATGAAGCAGGTGACTTTCATGCTACTGTCAGGAATGATCTAATTTTAGCGGGGTGAATGATTGCAATTGGCTTTGCCTCATCAGATAATTAATCTATGTCACCATTAATTGGAAAAGAGAATAATTAGGGGGCTGTGTTGACAGAAATTCTACGCTTCTCTAGATTCTTGGATCTAATTACACCTACTTAAACCCCTCTGACCTTAACTAGCGGATAGTATACCTGCGTAACCCTAACCAGGCTCGGGTTGGTCTCGACCGCCTCTCGCTCTGTGTCCTTTGTCATTTTTTTCCTCCTTTCTTGCTTGTTTATCCTCTCTTTTCCTGTCTCCTCAGAGAGCTGTCTCCCTCAATCACTTTTCAATATTCAATCTTAATTTTGTGGAAGTTTAGCATTTTCAATGAGCTGGAGATGAATGATTAATGAATAAATTTGAATGCTTCATTTTGTCCATGGATCATTAGTCAAGTCCTTTGTGGGAAGGACCTGCGAAAAAAAAAAAGAGGGAAAATTATTGAGACATTAGCCTGAAGCAATCCAGGGGTAAATATGCACAGAGGGATGTTGTGTATACGCTACCCACTGGCATTCTGCACAACCCCACGGAAATGCAAGCCTTCTAATTTACCCCGCTTCACAAGACTGATGGGCTCTATCGACAAATAGGTTTCATTTACAAAAATGAGTTCTCATTTTAATGTTTTGGTATATGCGTCTTTTAACTTTTTTAGTTATTTATTTATTTTACCCTCGTGCCTTGTTATGCCTCCTCTGGTGAGATGTCAAATAACAAAATTATTAATAAAATGTCAGTTACAATTGACCGAAACTATTATAGTCAAGTAAAGACATCAGAAAGTGACATCCTTGTTGGAATATTTGGTATAATTGGGATTATCTGTTAGGTTGTTGGGTTACATTTTAAAATATGGTCTTATTTGTTGTCACTAGGTAACTATGTTAACATTGACTAACAATGTAAAATACATGCATTTATTAATCTAATTAATGTTCATTTCAACATTTACTAATACATTTAAAAAATAATGTTAACATTAACAACAGTTAAATGCTGTAAAAATTTAATGCGTTAATCAGTGTTATTTTAGTATCAAAATCCAACCTGCACCTCATCGTACTGTGGGGGTGAACACCAAGTACGGGATTGCTCATTGAGGCTATATCACCAGCGAAGAAGTCTTTAGCTGAAGTATCACCGTGGGCGTTACGCGGGATGGGCAGGCTCAACTGAGAACCCTGAAAATGGTGGCCAATGCAAGTGGTGTCCCTTTGAGCCTGGGGTTACGGGCTTAACCGCACTGCAGCAGCTGTGACTGGTGTGTGGAAGGCGGATGAACTCCGTAGTGAGTCAACGGGTTCCTCACCAATTGAGACGATACTTTACAGGCTTCGGCTGCGAAATGATAATCTTAACTACATGCCACTGGGGTCAGGCATTTGGCAGCTTTTTTTTCCTCTTTAGTTGGGACGAGCTGGCAGACCCCTGCAACCACTATGTGCACCAGTCATCTGGGGTTCCCCTATGCCATTGGACAGCGGTCAAGGTAGTGGACTAAGGATTGTGCAACCTTCCTCAACTTTAAATATCCGTGAGCGGGAATTTGCATTGCTACCATATTTCTAAGTCCTGCGGCAATGGACCTCATAGGCGACTGAGACAGACTCAGGATGGAGCTGGGAGTCTCTAGTCCGTGATCTGCATGCAGGCAGCTCCGGTCAGATGGTCGTTGGAACCTGGGACAGGAACAGCAGGCTCCTTCGGCAGCTTCCTGAGCGGCTGAGCAGCCCTATTCAGGAAACGCACTGCTCGACTCATACGAGGAGGGACCTAGAAAAGGTGGTCCAAATATTGTCTGTTCCACTTGAGAGGCCCCCACTGCGTACTGCATTAGTCGCTGCTGAGCTAAACAGATACAACATCGACATTAACGCTTTGAGTGAGACTAGGTAGCAGGACGAAGGATCACTCACCGAAGTTGGCGCGGGCTATACCTTCTTTTGGAAAGGTCTCCCAGACCTATTGGTTCAAGTTAACATCCAGAATAACAGACTTTAAACATGATTGCGTTTAAATAAGATGAAGTAACCGATGCTAAACCAAAGCACCACACATGACAAAAACATTGGGTATTTTTTTATTAGCTTATAAAACATTAACCGTTAAAACAAAACAGCAACTAGCGGCACCTCAGTTTTTAAACGCAGGCTAGGCCTGCTGCATACACACGCACCAAACAATTAACTAGGAAATAACAGAGATATAAATAAACACAGGGAACTTTGAAAATAGGCTAGATATAATTTTAACAAATTAAATAGAAAACGAAATAAATAAAATAAATAGAATGCTTAAAAAAAATCTCACAGATTTCACATTCACAACAGCTTGCTTAACAGGCTATTGCAAAAAAGGTATGTCGCCTCAGGGCAGAGCTGCCAGATTTATGTCCGTTGTAAACGAACACTCTTGTACATTTATCGCAACTTACGAAGTTTAACTCTTTCCCATTTTTTTCAGTGACAATTGAGAATTGTTTCCAGATGTCTGACTTGCCTTGCTTTGCTTTTGTCAAGTAAACAGCCACTTTAATTTTCTTCTCAACTTCTTGTGTTGACTCCATTTCTACTACACACCAAATCCCACCGTTCCCCGCGGGTCTCCCGCGAAATTTTCTGCCCGCCCACTCCCGCCCGCAGCAAAGGTAAAACCGGCCGCTCCCGCGAGATTTGCGTTGGGTCCCACGGGAGCCCAAACCCAATGCAGCCCTCTAATCCATACCTCTCTGTTAAACCAATTTACAGAGACTTCAGTAGCTGTAAATTGAAGATTAAGGACGGTGCGCATCCCACTGATCAAATGTCATTATTTGACAATCATTAGCACTTATGCTCCCAATCTGACTTCTGATGATGCAACCAAGAACAGTTTTCATGTAGCACTCTCTGCAGCGCTTTGCTCTATACCTCCCCATGACAAATTTGTCCTACTCTGTAATTTCAATGCACGTGTCGGATGTGACTATCATGTCTGGAGTGGGGTCATAGGAGGACACGGAGTTGGAAATCCCAATGTCAATGGCCTTCGTCTATTACACACCTGTGCTCAATTTGATCTAATAATCACTTATTTCACCTTATTTCAGCTGAGAAATCAACAAAACACCACCTGGATGCATCTTAGATCCAAGCACTGGCATTTATTGGATTATGTGATTGTACGTCGTTCAGACATGCATGATGTCTTGTCCACCAGAACAATGCGAGTTGGCAAATGCTGGACAGACCATCGCCAAGTGTGTGATGAGATTGTGAACTATGAGATTGCACATACGACCGGCTTTTCGAAGACAGAAACCTAGACGACATCCCAACGTTAAGGCTTGCAACGACCCGACCATTAGAAGTGCAATTTCCACCCCGCTGCAATCTCTGCCTGATCCCATTCTGTCTGAAAATAGGTCCACATCTTCGCTTACTGAAGAGTGGTCAATACTCACCAAGATCATTATTGAGGCGTCTGCTGAGACTCTAGGATATACAAGGAGGCACCATGATCGGTTTGATGAGAATAGCATCGCCATCCGCAAGCTGCTCCAAGCAAAAAATTAGGTGCATGTGTAACCCCTCTGGTCCTAACCGCCCCACCTCGTTCTTGTTCCAAGTGGGACTCGAACCCGTGTCGCCGGCATGGGAGGCGGGCGCACTAACAAGGAGGCTAAAGACTGCAGTAGCGTCAGTCACTAGTAAGACTCTTTGAGATCAGGGGAGTGAGGTTTACCTGCACAGAACCTGCCAGCTGGCCTCCGTTACAGTCACCCCCCTAATCTTCACTCCCATCTGGGTCACGGCACCAATGTAACCCCTCCGGTCTTAACCACCCCAGCTGGCCTCCGTTACACTTGCTGCCTTACTCCACTCACCAATCTGCGGCAGATGGAAAATGTCTGGTGGGTAGAGAGCAAGAGAAATCCAACAATTTGATACAAATGAAATGCACAACTTCTATGCTGCCACTAAGGCAGTCTGTGGTCTAACTCATTATTCTGTGTACCCAGTAAGGTAAAAGAATCGTTCTACTTTGTATAAGGATCACAATGATATCCTCCTGCGGTGGGCAGAACATCTGAGATAATTACTCATCTGCCCCAACCCTGTTGACCATTGTCTACTTGACAAACTTCTACTGCTTCCACCCCTGACTATACTCGATTCCTGTCCATCTTTTCATGAGGTACGCAAAGCTGTGAAGAGACTGAAAAATAATATGGCTGCCAGCCCTGACGGCATCCCTGCTGAAATCCTTAAGCATGGAGGTCCTCGTCTTTTGCATCACTTGCACCATTTTATTACCAGTGCTTGGACCTCCGGCAAAATACCACAGCAGTGGAAGAATATTAACGTCATCACAATATGTAAATGTAAGGGAGACAAAGCCGACTGCAGGAGTAGCAGCGGTATGTCACTTCTGCTGGTAAAGTACTTGCTCGTGTAATGCTTAGTCGCCTTCTCTCAAATGTGGTGGATGTTATTCTTCCAGAATCTCAATGTGGTTTCAGGCGCAGCCATGGTACTCTAGACATGATCTTTGTTGCAAGACTAATGCAAGAAAAATGTAGAGAGCAGCATAAGGATCTGTACCTGGCATGTATAGATCTAACAAAGGCCTTTGACACTGTGAAAAGAGAGTTGTGTGGGATGTGCTGGGAAAGTTTAGTTGCCCTCCCCATTTTGTCAGTTTTACATGAACTTCATGATGGTATATTGGCCAGAGTCATCTCTGATGGCCGTGAGTCAGAGCCCTTTGAAGTCATTGTTGGTATCAAACAAAGGTGTGAACTGGCTCCTGTCATCTTCAATTTTTTCCGGGCAGCCGTGACATTGCTGTTTCGCGATGGCATCTCCGGGGGTAACGGTATCCATTTTAACTAACGCCTTGACGGCAGCCTCTTTAACGCTCATCGTCTGAGAGCTAGGTCAAAAGTCACAACAATATCAGTGTTTGAACTCCAGTATGCGGATGACGCTGCTTTGGTCAGCCACACTGCTACTGGTTTGCACCAAAACCCTCGATATCCTTGCCGCTACATATTGCCACGCAGGGCTAATCGTTAATACCAAGAAAACAGAGGTCCTGTCAAGTCTTTTGTCTGAGTCACCTGCGTCCTGTAAGCCTTTCTTCGTTCTCGGCTACAAAATCAATGAAGCTGAACAATTTACGTATCTGGGCAGTATTCTCACTTCTAGCTATGATTTATCTTACGTAATTCAACACCGAATTAAACAAGCCTCTTCCTCCTTTGGTCGCCTGATGCACTGGGTGTTCCTAAATCGCAACTTGGCCTTGTCAACCAAGATGGGAGTGTACAGAGCAATTTGCCTGTCTGCTCTTTTGTATGGCTGCGAAACATGGACCCTGTATCGCCACCATATTAAAGCGCTAGAAGCCTTTCATACCCAT